ACTATAGGCTGACATATTAAACCATAATGCCCTAAAATAGAAATCCACATTTAGGCACCTACTCAAACATATATAACAACATCCCTCTTTCGATTAGATAATAATTCTAAGTCTGATATGGCCTACCACTATTTTACCGTCACATTGTTTCGTCAAGTTACCATTTTTTCCCGCACTTCGTGTAGTTTGGTCTTCACAGGAGCCCATAGTTCACATGACGGGCACGTGACGCCACCCGGAAGCCTCGGACGCGAGCTGACAACAAAACAAAACTTCCTCCAGAAAAACTTTCATTTTGTTAGTCATTAATAATTGTTTATAATGGAGTCGACCCTTGAGCAGCATCTTGATGACACGTAAGTTATTACCGACACGTAGATCGTGTGTTTTACAGTTCAGCGCGTTTAAATAAGTCTTTTTGTTTGTTTCTTTTCTTTTGGCAGCATGAAAAACCCAGCAGTCGTCGGGGTGCTGTGTACGGATCAACAAGGACACAACCTGGGCTGTAAGAGTTTATTAGGCTTCTGAGCATCTGCGATTTTGTTCTTTTAAGGAAAGGTTTCTCGTAATAAAGACGTAAAATGATCCGGGCAGAGTTAGAGTTGAATTACTCAAGAGGAACTAAAATGTAAAATACTACAAACCAAAGGAGCACAGAGAAATAATACTTTTATACTTTTATACTATGTCAGGTGATGTTGTCTATGTCGTTTCCAAAACACGAACCATCATCAGTCCAAAATGAAATCATTAAGCACTGTTGGTTCTTATAAACTGAATCTGTATCCTTCTGTGGTAGAAGACTAAATAACTTGCGTTTCAGGCAGTTTACACACAAAACAAGACATTTTAGAGGGATTTATTAAGGACATAATGGGTAAGCTTGTTGGTACTGTAAGTAGATGTGAATTGAGTGACGTAATATACTAAAGTATTGTTATTTGATATGTATTTTTCATTGAGACATGCAGTAAACCAATAATACAGACAAATATATTCTCTACACAAACACACCCAGTGGACCCAGTTTGTCCTGTATTCACAGTTCTCACTGAGATGTTATAATAATGAAGTTAATGTAATAACACATCACAGCAAATAAGGACTGTTATAAAAATCAAAATGTTACACCTATAAAAACATTCAAAAAGTCCTGTGTACCATAGCTTTCATAAGCCATCTATTTTTGAGTGATTGTTCTTTTTAGGATCCTTTATTGCTGTATGTACTGATGTATTGTTAGATTAGTCTGCCCCTGATCTCTTTATAAATTCTTCTTAGTGATATTTTCATTTCTTCCATCCCCAGGTCGCGGCTCCCTGTCTGATGAACACGGCGGTGTTGTGTCTGTTTTGGCCAAACAAGCTGCAGCACTCAGCAAAGACCCAACAGACACTCCGACTGTGTGCCTGGAATCTGAGTCAGGGTGAGCTCTCACACAAACTTTTTTTTTTCTTTGCTTGACAAACTTTCATAACCCTTTCTCTTCTTCTCAGTAAATGTAAGAGAACTGCCTGTAGTTGTTTTGATTAATCCTCAGGAGGATCATTAAATCAAAGAAAACAGTTGAAACGGATCCAAAATCAAAGATGGAACATCCTTTTTTCTTTTTTTACCTCAGACTTTGCTCAAAGTTATTGCAAAGGTGTGCTTTTCCATTTGTAAGGCTTTGGTGCCACCTTCTGGACAAACATCGTCTAGTTCCTCTGTGTCCTCATTTCTACTCCTCTCAGTACTTGTCAGAAGAAGTCGTTTAAAATGTTAGACCTAGTTGTAGTTGTAAACATAATGTAAACTTCCACAGCTTTGCTTTCTAAGGAAGGAAGGAAGGGTTACAGGATTTTGTTTCACACGGTGTAAATCAATTTTCAGATGAGCAAGTCACATATCAAAAAACAGCTCACAGTTGATATATCAACTGTGAGCTGATAATTCTGTTCTGATTTTTATTTATCAAAAGACTCTAGAAATACACGTTAATTAAAAACTAGTTTACACTTGTTACTTTTTCGAGCTGTAAAGCTGACACTCAGGATGATGATGCTTAGAAAATCTGTTAATCATTGCAGACAATAGTAGGGCATCTTTAGGGAACTTTGTATTTGTATGAAGTTTAAAGTATTGATCATTTTGTGCTACAACACCAGGCCCAAATGCATTGCATTAATAAGCTCAGTCTGTAGGGATTTGGGTTGGGAACCGAATGGTTGCCGGTTCAAGTCCTGAGCACTGCTGAGGTGCCCTTGAGCAAGGCACCTAACCCCAAAAACAGCTCTGGAGGGCTCGCTGTGGGCAGCCCCCTCACTCTGAGACCTCTCCATTAATTCATGTCCATAGGATCCTGTTTGTGCATGTGTGTGTATTTCGGCCCATGTGTGTGTTCATGTTCATTAAACAAAGTTTTAAACCGGATCTCCCCTTGAAGGGATTAATAAAGTATAAATTATTATTAATATGGAAGGTGAATGACAGACAGGTTGAGTTTCATATACGAGACGCTGTTGGTGGTTGAATTATTCATCATATTTGTCAGTAAGTTTATCATCTCAATGTTTTTTTTCTGAGTCTGTTGTTTTGTTTGTTTTTAGAAACATTCTGGTGCGGAGTCATGGGACCATCACAGTCGCCGTTCACAAGATAGCATCCTGAAGACAACGTGATCAAACTGGACAAGTTTTACTGTAAAGAAATGTTAACGCAACCATTAATCATCCAATTTGAACATTTTTGCCTGTCTCTGTGTTCTTCTGTATTGGATTTCTTTCTTTTGTGTGAAAAAAATAATATATTTAAATCTTAGAAATATTGTTCTGCTGTCATGTACACATTAGACTCTGCAGTGACTCCCAGCCATGTTACAGCTTTGTGTGCACACTTCGGTTTTACATTCATTTCTTTCATCTAATGCAGTCATGCGGAGAGTAACACCACTTAATAAACTTTGACTTGACTTTGTGCTGCCCTCTTTTGTGTGAAGTGTCAATTATTTTCTCCTCTGCTCTGTGTTTCCTGGTTAAACATTTCATTTTAGTTGGCAGCAGCGAAAAATTCACCAAGTAAATGAAAAGTATAGTTAATTATTAATCAAGCCAAATATGACGCCATTGGGTTCTAATTTTTCACTCTAATTAAAGAGCTTGATAGGGTCATCCTCTGAGTGAAGATGTCCACTTTGACACAAGTACAAATTTGTTTTGCAACAGACGTCTCGCAAAATGTGTTGCAAAACTCAAGCAGCGCAGATTCGCGCGAGAAAAGTAGTGGATTTTTTATTACAAGCAATATTTTTACATAAAAGTTCACTTTTTTTTACCTTCAAATTCTCACATCACATTCTACAAGCTCTCCTATTTTGCAGCATATCTACCTTCATACTCGGTCTCCAGACCTGACTAAACTCTGCGGTGGCTCTGATGTTTTGACCGCAGAGCGTTTTTTTTTTTTCCTCTCCCCCTCCTCTCTCCCCCTGAGCCCTCGGATGAGGTTCACTGCTACGTCTCAGTCACGTGGCCCTCCTCAGTGTGGAAGCTTTGCTCTCTGCGGCTCCTCGGCACAAGGCAGCGATGTGGAGGCTGAAATGTGAGATGCAATTCAGAGGGACTCGCTCGTAGAGGCAAAGTTATGGCACGTTCATCGTCGGAGAAAAACGTCCCGCAGCAGTTTCTCTCCTCCAGAAGGTCCCTCGCCGGTGATGCGCACGCCTTCCTGGGACGCACAAACCCAGAGCGAGAAGACCGAAAATTACGCATCAGGTTCAACTAATTGAATCGACGAATATAAAAGGACTGAGGGAGTTTTCAGGTATGGATTTTTGTGTGTGTGCCATTTTTTCCCTTTAACCCAAGACATGAATAGTTTTTACAAAAAAAAACAAAAAACAAGACGAAGATTTGTTTTAATTTAATACATTATATTAATATTAAATTATGTACACCTGTTTTTCTTTATTGTTGGAATACTTTTGTCAGAACAAACTTCCTCCAAACTGTTTCAAACCCAAAACTTATTTAGAATTTTCAAACTTTTCTCCTACGTTGCGTCAATGCAGGTGCAGCCTCTTTTACTCAGATCCCTGAAAACATCCCCTTAATATTCAGCTTGGATGGATCAGCTTGCAATTTTTTTTACGCATCCTCTTCAACGATCCTTTTCTTTCCTCCCAGAGTTAAGCTGAGTGAGGGGCACGATGCAAAAGGCCTGTCTGTTGAGTTTTATGTTCTCATTCACATATAAATATACATGATGTGATGTATAGTTTGACTTACAGTGTTCATATGTATATGTTGCACCCATGAAAAGACCAGGACTCTGTCTTCCGTTTGGCAACTTTATTCTTCCCGGTGCTGTATTTATTTATGATTATCTTTCTTAAGAAGCATCGGGTCCTCAACAAAAACGGCATACATGCGCATTCATCCCTTGACCACGACCCCGACCTTTTACGTCAACTCTGCACGCAGGCCGATGACGTCATATATCAAACCTAAAATTAAAAGAGTTCATTACAACTTTTTAATTTCTGTGTAAACTAACATGAAATTACAGTACCTGTATGTTTTTTTTAATTAACAAATTAAACAAATGTGAAATAATATTACATACAATACTTTCTAACTTATAGTGTTGTGTGCTTTCTTCTGTCAAATTTAATTGCATACAAATATTTCTAGGTCGCAACATATATGTTTTATACAACGTTTATTTTGTATGCACTTGAAGAATAGTGTACATGTTGAGATCTTATTTTGTTATTCATGACGTGCCTTCCTGTTGTGATGCGTTTTGCGACCTACGTTAAAGGGCCCATATTATGCTTATTCTGGTTTTATGTGCTCTTTAGTGTGTTTTCCTGTGCATGTTTAGGCACATCTATTTGCAAAAATTCAAAGTCCGCGTAAACGCGGCTTCTCCCGCGTCCTCCTGTTCGGTTCTAGCCCCCCTCGAAAAAAAATTGCCAGTGTGACGTCAGCTCATGTGGCACGCCCACCATATGCCGCAGCCTCAGGTAGCACAGTTGTGCTAAGGTGCTCTGGAAGTTCACAACCACAACATGTAAGTACGCTTCATTGTCTTTTTTATTTGTTTGAAAACAACTTTTTAGCTGCTACGGATACATTAGTTCTGTGAAGGCTGTCTGTAGCTGAACTGTAAACCTCGGCTAACATGCTAAGTAATGCTATTTTTCGAAATTTGAGCAGTGCTAAACTATTTATCAACTTTCACCTAAAGCGGTAACAGGTGTAGCAGTGTCAACCACCCTCAGACATGTAAGTAGTGTTTTGGGGGTCCAGATCCGCTTGTTACGGACTCAGAGCATTATTGGACTCTGCAAACGCTGACATTGTTGTGGTTAGCCTCTCTCTAGGTTTTGTGACTTTGCATTTGTTTATTGGTGTGAGAAGCTTGAACGGTGCTAAAGTTCGGGTTTTATGACCGTGGTTCGAAAAGGTCTAATGAATGTAAAATCCACTTTGTTACAGTGTCTGAGCTTTATAAGACTCTGCTAACTTCCCCGGCTAACACAGCTGTTGTTATCCTCTTTCTACTCTCTTATCCACCTCTTCGTAAAACTGCTTTGTTACGTGGTGATTTTTTATCGATGTAGTAAGCCAGACCATTGCTAAAGTATTGATAATTGATCTAAACAGCTCGGCCAGTGTTCAGGTGGTGTTGTTTAATCATAGCACTGACTGCAAAAGAACGGGTTAACCCATATATTTATATAGGCTATTCAGTAACACAAGAAACGTAAAGATGTGTGCAGCAGGCACTTTGTTTTGAAAGATATGTGTGGTCTAAATATTTAGCTATGAACAAGAAGACAGTGCATTTTTGAATCATGTTAGATTACCATGCTAAATTTGCAATTTTTCTGTCTCTTTTTACAAACAAAGTGTACCAAATACGGAGCGGTCACACTGGTCAAACGAATTGGACTTCAGCGTTGAAGCGTGCTTGGGCACGGTACGGATGGCCAGTGTGACCGCGCCCTAAGGGACAAGCAAAGGTACGCACACACACCTAAAAAAATTGTCCAACTGCTGAAATCTGACGAAGAATATCAGAAAACTGTGATTTCATTACATGATTGCTGATTTTAGTTTTTTGTATTGTAGCTTGTTGCTGTCTGTGATGCATAACAACGAACATGCTGAACGTGATAAAGCAACAACCTCTACAGGACAGCTGGTCTATAAGGTGGCATTCCTCAAATCCCAAAAAAACAGACACAACATACAGTGAGTTACAAATTATTTTATTTTTTGAACCCAAAAGGACAACACATTTTTAAACCTTTAAAGTGATAAATACCCTATTTAAATATACCTTTATAGTCTTTGTAAACGTTTCCAAAAAACAGATGAGTGTGAAAAATGAGCAGTAACCAAACATTATGAAATAGATTTTTGTTCTTGAATTACTTTTTTACAGGATATGTCAGGGACTTGGGCACTGGTGTTGGAGATGTTTCAGGAACCAGAACCATTCATGGAGGAGCTGCAGAAAATACCTGGCTCTGAAAAAGAAGAAGTGGTGGCTCGACACGTGTCCAGGTGTAGTCAAGGGGCGGGCGGAAGCCAACATACTGTCCAGTCGGGTCAGGAAACTCGGGGCGAGTCCTCAGGACGACACACGATAGGATAACCATCCAACTATATTGTCTCATGCAGGCTGTGCAGACACTTGGCAGTGGTTGGAGTGGTTATCCTATCGTGTGTCGTCCTGAGGACTCGCCCGAGTTTCCTGACCCGACTGGACAGTATGTTGGCTTCCGCCCGCCCTTGACTACACCTGGACACGTGTCGAGCCACACTTCTTCTTTTTCAGAGCCAGGTATTTTCTGCAGCTCCTCCATGAATGGTTCTGGTTCTGAAACATCTCAACACCAGTGCCAAGTCCTGACATATCCTGTAAAAAAGTAATTCAAGAACAAAATCTATTTCATAATGTTTGGTTACTGCTCATTTTTCACACTCATCTGTTTTTTGGAAACGTTTACAAAGACTATAAAGGTATATTTAAATAGGTATTTATCACTTTAAAGGTTTAAAAATGTGTTGTCCTTTTGGGTTCAAAAAATAAAATAATTTGTAACTCACTGTATGTTGTGTCTGTTTTTTTGGGATTTGAGGAATGCCACCTTATAGACCAGCTGTCCTGTAGAGGTTGTTGCTTTATCACGTTCAGCATGTTCGTTGTTATGCATCACAGACAGCAACAAGCTACAATACAAAAAACTAAAATCAGCAATCATGTAATGAAATCACAGTTTTCTGATATTCTTCGTCAGATTTCAGCAGTTGGACAATTTTTTTAGGTGTGTGTGCGTACCTTTGCTTGTCCCTTAGGGCGCGGTCACACTGGCCATCCGTACCAGTGCCCAAGCACGCTTCAACGCTGAAGTCCAATTCGTTTGACCAGTGTGACCGCTCCGTATTTGGTACACTTTGTTTGTAAAAAGAGACAGAAAAATTGCAAATTTAGCATGGTAATCTAACATGATTCAAAAATGCACTGTCTTCTTGTTCATAGCTAAATATTTAGACCACACATATCTTTCAAAACAAAGTGCCTGCTGCACACATCTTTACGTTTCTTGTGTTACTGAATAGCCTATATAAATATATGGGTTAACCCGTTCTTTTGCAGTCAGTGCTATGATTAAACAACACCACTGAACACTGGCCGAGCTGTTTAGATCAATTATCAATACTTTAGCAATGGTCTGGCTTACTACATCGATAAAAAATCACCACGTAACAAAGCAGTTTTACGAAGAGGTGGATAAGAGAGTAGAAAGAGGATAACAACAGCTGTGTTAGCCGGAAGTTAGCAGAGTCTTATAAAGCTCAGACACTGTAACAAAGTGGATTTTACATTCATTAGACCTTTTCGAACCACGGTCATAAAACCGAACTTTAGCACCGTTCAAGCTTCTCACACCAATAAACAAATGCAAAGTCACAAAACTAGAGAGAGGCTAACCACAATGTCAGCGTTTGCAGAGTCCAATAATGCTCTGAGTCCGTAACAAGCGGATCTGGACCCCCAAAACACTACTTACATGTCTGAGGGTGGTTGACACTGCTACACCTGTTACCGCTTTAGGTGAAAGTTGATAAATAGTTTAGCACTGCTCAAATTTCGAAAAATAGCATTACTTAGCATGTTAGCCGAGGTTTACAGTTCAGCTACAGACAGCCTTCACAGAACTAATGTATCCGTAGCAGCTAAAAAGTTGTTTTCAAACAAATAAAAAAGACAATGAAGCGTACT